TCTCACACAAACCAATGACGTAACAATCAATACCTGCTCTCAGGAGAAGATAACTCGGCAATACGCAAAGGCGGAATTATGGCGTCGTTGAACTATGGCGTCAACAATATATGCGTAGACCCAATTACGTTTTACCAGGACGTCAAGCGTACTGAAAGACATAGAATCTATGTTGAATTAGATCTTTATCAAAATATCATATAAAACTATTCTGGTCACCCAGAACCACATGCCATACCTCTATGGAAAGCTAAAATCATTATTTATTACTTTATATTGTTAAATGTTTACCAGTACATCGTTCGTAAATTGTTTTACAAGCCAGAAATTTAGTATAATTAGTAAATAAGCAGGTTTTGCCGTCACTATATACAGTAAAGACGAAGGCGACTTTTTAAGTACATCAACATGTCTGTAGGTAATGCTAGAACATACTCTCTATTTTGTACATTTACTCAATCCAGGGATTACACTCTCGACACTAGTTCAGAACCTTGGATTTCGAATATGTAGAGCTCTACTTTCTAAAGAGTTACGCCATTGTTCAATTATTATAATTTTCGACTAAAGTGCGCACACCGGCACGCCACCATTGAACCATCTTCGTTATATCGTACTGGTATTCGTCTACTATAACACTATAAGATGCTGTCGCAAACCGAATTCTAAAACAAAACAAAATGATCAGCCTAATTAAATCCGGGGTCGGGGAAGGACACGTTTTTCTGACGTAAAAGATGATGATATGAAAATCATATCAGCCCCATACCATCGTTCTGTCGAATTCTATGACCAAAATTTCCTCGAATATTTGCAAATGCTGTAATTAATATTTGCAGGTATGCCCGTCACTTCTTCAACACCCATGTTTTTCATCTGTGTCTCAATCTACGATTATTTTTTCTTTGTACATTATTTGTTACATAGAGAGTTACATTCCATAAAACAGAGCTTAGTTTATTGTTAAATGAATTGTACACGGGATTAAGCACAAGATATATCAACAATGAGTTGTGGTGCGTGCCTGATTCGCGGTAGACCTACTATTCGTATCCTTTTTTCCTAAGTCAGAGAAATCAAAAGTTGAAATACACCACTTGCAGAAGTTTTCTGAAAAAAACTCCTACAGAAAGTTCAGAATTAAAAAAAAACATAAAAATATCCATCAATCAGAAATTCCTCCAATTTGCATTAGGAAAGTAGGAAACAGTACTCAGAGTATATACAGTTTGTTATGATACATGTTTGCTAAGGTTGCTTATATTCGCCTGGAGGCTGCATAAAATATTCTGAAACAATGGTGACGTAATTTTTTGTTTTCCGTTCTTCGCTGAATGAATTATTTAGATAACAGGGAAAGCCTGTCATAATATATATGAGCTTCCATATCAGGTTATCAGCTTTCCATTGGTATATATTTACATTTGTCCCCGCGCCGTCCCATTACAACAGTGTTAGAGGGCAAGTGTAATTATATAGGCTATAATTACAACTGCTCGACTATATTTACAACTGCCTGTTTCAGGTGTAGGAATATGTAAACAAACAAATGGCCGCCTGAAATGTATTTTGAGGCAGGGCAAATGGTTTTTGTAGGAATATGTCTTAAAAAAGAAAAATATGTAAATATAAAAAATACCTGGTTGTTTGGGTGTAATTATTGTTGATATAATTACAAGTGGCCTCTCGTAATTATATCAACAATAATTACATCCAGACAACCAGTTATTGATTAAATAATATGTGCGTTTGCGTTACCGATATAGGTTTTTACAGTGATTAAAAATATTAGCATATACTGCCTCACAGAACAAGCAGTTTCAAGAACGTCTCACGTTAGTGCGCCGAGCACACACGTTTTGATGACGTCATAGACAATGCCGCGGGTGACGTAAAATGATCGGGCCTGTGGCAGTCAACGTAAAGTTTAGATCGGCCCAAATGCATGTGTATCCAAATGTAATACACCTCGTTGTGGTACTTGTAACCTAATTATAGAAGGAAGTGATGCTAAGTTCAAAAATGGTTTAATCTTTAAGGTTAAAAAGCATATGAATTGTAAGTCTAGTAATGTAATTTACGCAATGATTTGTAACAATTGTTCTGAGTTTTATATCGGTCAAACGGGCGGTGAACTACGAACAATGATGACTGTTCACAGACAACAAATACGAACAGACAGCTTAAGATTGCGCTGATGACAAATTTAAAATATTTCCTATTTATCAAATGAACAACGCAGACGTAATCAAACGTGAGGCTTAGGAAGCTGAATTCATCAGACTTCTTAGAACCCGCTTGAACAGTACTGTTTGACAAATATTTTATAATGTTCTAACTTTATGTTACGTTTAAGGTAGAGAGTACTACACGAGTTTCGATCAACGTGTCTTATCATTTTTATTTTTGTCTATTGATGAGTTATGTTTGTAAAGTAGTGACATTGGTAGTGTGTCGGATCAGTAATGTAATGGTCCTAAGTGAGTGTTTTTATTATTTATTTATTTTTTAATATATTTTTTTTGTGTGTTAGTGATAGTATTACTAGTATAACTTAATCCTATACAAATAGTACTCTTTGCCTTAAGGTGACTCCACACATCGTCATCAGCGTCCATTTTCGTGACGTACTTCCGGAAAAAGTACA